ACGTCCACTGATAGGAGACGCGGAAGGTATTAAACTGATAAAAATAGTACTAAACACACCTCCCCTATCTGGTGTCACATCAGCTTGACCGCGCAGTGCCCCAAATTTGCAGTAAGAGGACCGACCAAGCCTCTTCTTCCATCTCCCTGTTACAAAAATCAATGCCGTGTACACGTCCACTGATAGGAGACGCGGAAGGTTTTAAACTGATAAAAATAGTACTAAACACACCACTACTATCTGGTGTCACATTAGCTTGACCGCGCAGTGCCCCAAATTTGCAGTAAGAGGACCGACCAAGCCTCTTCTTCCATCTCCCTGTTACAAAAATCAATGCCGTGTACACGCCCACTGATAGGAGACGCGGAAGGTATTAAACTGATAAAAATAGTACTAAACACACCACTACTATCTGGTGTCACATTAGCTTGACCGCGCAGTGCCCCAAATTTGCAGTAAGAGGACCGACCAAGCCTCTTCTTCCATCTCCCTGTTACAAAAATCAATGCCGTGTACACGTCCACTGATAGGAGACGCGGAAGGTATTAAACTGATCTCTATTCTGCTCTGTGTCAGTGTGTATCATGGTCTCTGAGGACAGGTGTCAATCCATATCTGCCAAGTCACCCTATGTAGGGGGACCAGTCCCTATTCTGCTCTGTGTCAGTGTGTATCAGGGAACCTTAGGACAGGTGTCAATCCATATCTGCCAAGTGACCCGATGTAGGGGGAACAGTCCCTATTCTGCTCTGTGTCAGTGTGTAACAGGGATCCTTAGGACAGGTGTCAATCCATATCTGCCAAGTGACCCTATGTAGGGGGACCAGTCTCTATTCTGCTCTGTGTCCGTGTGCATCAGGGGCTCTGAGGACAGGTGTCAATCCATGTGTCAAGGTGTCAATATGTCATATGTCAGGTGTCAATCCATATTCATTGTGATTTAGGAATGTTAGGTGATTTCTGCCCTTTATGGATTAAAACCAGACTCTGTATCAACTGTGTAATTTTCCATGGGAGTTTTGCCATGGATCCCCCTCCGGCATGCCACAGTCCAGGTGTTAGTCCCCTTGAAACAACTTTTCCATCACTATTGTGGCCAGAAAGAGTCCCTGTGTGTTTTAAAATTCGCCTGCCCATTGAAGTCAATGGCGGTTCGGGCGGTTCGCCGGTTCGCGAACATTTGCTGAAGTTCGCGTTCGCCGTTAGCGAACCGAAAATTTCGGGTTCGCGACATCACTAGTCACTAGTCACCCCCTCCCTCCCTCTGTCACTAATCACCACCTCCCTCACTCTGTCACTAGTCACCCCTTCCCTCCCTCACTCTGTCACTAGTCACACCCTCCCTCACTCTGTCACTAGTCACACCCTTCCTCACTGTCACTAGTCACACTCTCCCTCACTCTGTCACTAGAGGGAAGGAGTGAGGGACAGAGTGACAGTCACCACCTCCCTCACTGTCACTAGTCACCCCCTTCCTCACTCTGTCACCAGTCATCCCCTCACTCTGTCACTAGTGACTGGTGACTATTGACAGAGTGAGGGAGTGGGTGACTAGTGACAGAGGGAGAGGGGTTGACTAGTGACAGAGTTAGGGAATGGGTGACTAGTGGCAGAGTGGGGGAGGGAAGGGGTTACTAGTGACAGAGTGAGGGGATGACTGGTGACAGAGTGAGGGGATGACTGGTGACAGAGGGAGGGAGTGACTAGTGACAGAGTGAGGGAGGGGGTAACTGTCACTAGTCACCCCATCCCTCTCTCTGTCACTGTGTCACCCCCTTCTTCACTCTGTCACTGTGTCACCCCTTTCCTCACTCTGTCATTAGTCACCCACTCCCTCCCTCACTCTGTCACTAGTCACCCCCTCTCGCACTCTGTCACTAGTCACCCCCTCTCTCACTCGGTCACCAGTCATCCCTTCCTTCCCTCACTCTGCCACTAGTCATCCCTTCCCTCACTCTGCCACTAGTCATCCCTTCCCTCACTCTGTCACCATTCACCCCTTCCTTCCTTCACAGTGACAGAGTTAGGGAGGGAGTGACTAGTGACAGAGAGAGGGATGGGGTGACTAGTGACAGAGAGAGGGATGGGGTGACTAGTGACAGAGTGAGGAAGGGGGTGACTAGGGACAGAGGGGGTGATTAGTGACAGAGTGAGTGAGGGGGTGACTAGTGACAGAGTGAGGGAGCGGGTGACAAAGTGACAGAGTTAGGGAGGGAGTGACTAGTGACAGAGAGAGGGATGGGGTGACTAGTGACAGTCACCCCCTCCCTCACTCTGTCACTAGTCACTCCCTCCCTCTGTCACTAGTCACTCCCTCCCTCTGTCACCAGTCATCCCCTCACTCTGTCACCAGTCATCCCCTCACTCTGTCACTAGTCACCTCTTCCCTCCCTCACTTTGTCACTAGTCATCTCTTCCCTCCCTCCCCCACTCTGCCACTAGTCACCCATTCCCTAACTCTGTCACTAGTCAACCCCTCTCCCTCCCTCTGTCACTAGTCACCCACTCCCTCACTCTGTCACCAGTCACCCCCACTCACTGTGTCTCCCCCTCACTCTGCCACCACTCAACCCCTCCTTCCCTCACTCTGCCACCAGGTACCCCCTCACTCTGCCACCTGTCACAACCTCCCACACTCTTCCATCTGTCACCTTCTCCCTCACACACTCTGTCACCTGTCACATATGCATTCACACAGACACTATATACAAAAAATCACATGTAGTCATCCAGACATGCACAAGTGCATTCACACAGACTCAAATACAAACATGCATTGATACACAGGTCTTCACAATATACACATCCAAAGGAATGCCGTATTATGAGTTATATTTAACATTTATTTAATGCACGTATATTTGGCCTTCAAAGGGCCTGGGATCTAATTTTGCCCGGAGGCCCCAAAGGCTCTCAGTCCACCCCTGCTCTACACCGTGATGTCCGTAGGACTCCAGAGGCACCAGCAGCTTCAAATATCTGTTTGCTGCTATGTAATGGTATTTTAGCAGCTGCTCTCTTGATCCGATGCATGGATCTGGCAGAAATCTTCCTCAATGTGCCTTTATCTGCACGAACCCGTCTGTGCTCTGAATCAGCCACAAATCTCTTAATAGTGCGATGATCACACTTAGGTTTTCGTGAAATATCTAATGTTTTCACACCTCGTCCAAGGCATTGAACTAATTCACTCAGCAGAGAGATCCTTTTTCTTCCCCATATTGCATGAAAATGGTGCTCTGCTTAATGTGGACACCCTCCTTTAGTAGTTTTTCCTTAAATTGGGCTCACCTGGCAATCTAATTATCACAGGTGTCCACAGTGATGTATCCTGGTTTTGTGCTGCCCTAGGCAGGACAAAACTCAGATGCCCCCACCCCTGCCAACCCACCCCATCCTTCCCCCCTGCCCCGCCTTCTAAATACACACACACACATTCCCTGACAGATACGCATACACTAGCTAACAGATATACACACTCACTAAGATACACACACACACACTAACAGACACACACACACTAACAGACACACACACTAACAGACACACCCACACTCACTAACAGACTAACTTAATACAGACTATCTTTTTGTATTATGTTCCTTGTTTGTGAAGGGTTATGTGTGTCTCTTCTCTTTCTTTTGACAACTAATGAAGCCCATGATTACTTGCATTTGATGTGTTTGAGGCAACACCTATTTTTGCATAATTGTGCTGTAGATAGCTAGATAGATAGATAGATAGATAGATAGATAGATAAATGCTATAGGGTCGACATAATCTTTCACTTTTGCTATTATCAATTGTTTTGACACATTAAACTATGATTTGAAGTCCAGTGAGTCCTACAATTGATCTGATCTCACATCCAGTGTGGGTAAGCACGCTGGCAAAATAATTGTTTAATTCAAGATGAGATCTTGTATGTACATATATATATAAAATACAGAATCCAGGGCACTCGCTTATTTACTGAACAATGATTTCAAATCTTAGAGATTGTAATAGTTTTATTTAAAAACACCTCACCTAGGCAAAAAATAATGGGGATTTAGTTACATTATATGATCATAAATTGCATACGTCTGCCACAACGTCTATGTACCCCATTCTTGGCAGGTCCTACTCTAGCAGCCTAATGCTTGCCCTTATGAGATTAATCCACTTACTTGGGAAATACTTCCTTACTGGGACTCTCTGCAAGTCAAGGCTAAATAAGGACCTGGAATGAGGCAAAACCAAGGAGTTGGCCTGGACTCCCAAATATATAAAAGAAACCAAGAGGGCTGCACTAACCTGAACCTGCATACACCCTGTTCCAAATTATGATGCAAATTATATTTTTCTCATTTACCTAAATAATTGATGTAAATAGCAGTCAGTATAATTCTCATGTTCTCAACTATTAAGAGTACAATTCAAATTTTATTGAACAAACCTGTTCCAAATTATTATGCAAATGATATTTATCATATACTAACAGACACATTCACTAACAGACACACACAGTCACACACACACTCACTAACAGACACACACAGACAGACACATACACACACTCACTTACTCACATAAACACACTCACTTTTTGTAAATGTAACCCCCCCAGCCTCCTTACCGTTGGGAATGCTGGGGAGGAGGGGATTCTCCCTTTCCCTGGGGGTCCAGTGGCTGCTGGGCTGCTGGGCGGGTTGCGCTGGTGAGGGAGCACTTTCCCCTGAGCTCTTCATCTTCATACCGTCATATTCCGGCTCCCGGCATCACTCTGCAGCGCGCGAGGGAGCTGAGCAGACAGCTCAGAGGAAAGTGCTCCCTCGCCAGCGCCGCACGCATGCCCAACCGACCACCAGCCTGGCTTGTCAGTTAGTCACAAGGCTAACAAGACATTTGCCCTGGGCATTTGGGGGCGGCTTTTTTTGCTGCCCCCTGGAAATTGCCGCCCAAGGTAAATGCCTTGTTTGCCTCGCGGCTAATACGTCCCTGGGTGTCTGAGATTGTTTTCAGTGATCAAAAGAGCCCCGAGACACATGAGTTAAACATATACCCCACTTTCAAAAGACAGCACTCAAGGGACTTTAAGTAATATAAAAATAAAAAGCTTGATTGTCAGTAAAAAAAAAAAATAACATTTCAGTTCACCACAGAACTTTCATCAGGACCAGTAAAAATCAATGTTTCTGTTCACCATGGAACATTCATCAGAATTAAAATTCCGTGGTGAACTGAAACGTAGATTTTTAGTGGCAATCACTGAAAAAAAGCTAAATTTTATTTTTATATTACTCCCATGAGTGCTGCCTTACTCACATTAACACACTCACTTTTTGTAAATGTAACCCCCCCCAGCCTCCTTACCTTTGGGAATGCTGGGGGGGAGGGGATTCTACCTTTCCCTGGGGGTCCAGTGGCTGCTGGGCTGCTGGGCTGCTGGGCTGCTGGGCTGCTGGGCGGGTGGCGCTGGTGAGGGAGCACTTTCCCCTGAGCTCTTCATCTTCATACCGTCATATTCCGGCTCCCGGCATCACTCTGCAGCGCGCGAGGGAGCTGAGCAGACAGCTCAGAGGAAAGTGCTCCCTCACCAGCGCTGCACGCACGCCCAACCGACCACCAGCCTGGCTTGTCAGTTAGTCGCAAGGCTAACAAGACATTTGCCCTGGGCATTTGGGGGCGGCTTTTTTTGCTGCCCCCTGGAAATTGCCGCCCAAGGTAAATGCCTTGTTTGCCTCGCGGCTAATACGTCCCTGGGTGTCCGAGATTGTTTTCAGTGATCAAATGAGCCCCGAGACACATGAGTTAAACATATACCTCACTTTCAAAAGACAGCACTCAAGGGACTTTAAGTAATATAAAAATAAAAAGCTTGATTGTCAGTAAAAAAAAAAAAATAACATTTCAGTTCACCACAGAACTTTCATCAGGACCAGTAAAAATAAATGTTTCTGTTCACCATGGAACATTCATCAGAATTAAAATTCCGTGGTGAACTGAAACGTAGATTTTTAATGGCAATCACTGAAAAAAAGCTAAATTTTATTTTTATATTACTCCCATGAGTGCTGCCTTTTGAGATTGCAATATATATATATATATATATATATATATATATATGGTGAAATAGTGATCAGCACTCTCGGACTTTTGTTGAGTTTAAAACTTACAGTTTATTGAAATTCCATTTAAAAGATCAACGTTTCAGTTCCTATCTGGAACTTTCATCAGGATCAAACATATAAAACAATGCAAAACATTACATTTATATACCTCAAGTATTAGTGAAGTTAAATCAATAATGACTTACCCCTGTGCTCAGAGTGATGGGTGTGTTCCCCTGGCGTCCACCATACCTCCGTGCGCATGCGCGGACGTGGCCCCGCCCCTACGTGTGCGTGATGACGTCACATGGGAAGAAGCAGGAAGTGACTAATAGTGAATAGCATGTGTCTCCGGTTGCTATGGCAACCCAGCAATGTAACTACAAAGTAATACATTCACTTAACATTCACAAGTACTAGTCCACTCATCCTGGTACTAGAACATAATGAAAAAAAATGAAAGGTTTATGAAAATAAATCCAGAAATTGAATAATCTTTGTACTAATATTGGACGTGAACACTGGAGTGTTAAGTTCATTCAGATAGTGAACCATTTGAATGAACTTAACACTCCAGTCAGGTTCACGTCCAATATTAGTACAAAGATTATTCAATTTCTGGATTTAGAGATATCTGTTAAAGAACATGGAGTATCTTATTGTCTATATAGAAAAGACACTGATCGGAACACATTGTTGCACAATAAAAGTGCACATCCAAAAATGTTGAAAAAATCGCTTCCTAAGGCACAATTCTTAAGAGTTATACGTAATAATTCAGATCAACTCAAGATGCAACAACAGTTGGAAGAGATGAATAAAAAATTCCTTGAAAGAGGGTATTATAGACAGGAACTGTTAAAAGCACAACAAGATGCGCAAATGGCCAATACCGCCATACGTACCAAAAGACCACCGTCCTTGGTATTTCCAATGGCTTACAATGATGCTTCACCCAAAATAGCCAAAATTATCAAACAAAATTGGAAGATGCTTGCAACGGACGACACTTTGCCTAAAGTTTTTAAAGAACATCCATTGATTAGTTTCAAGAGAAACAAAACACTAAAGGATATGTTGGTACATACAGATCCTATAAACAGTTACAATCAGGGAACTGATATCCAATACCGAGGCAGTGTTCGATGCTTGGGATGCGTCACTTGCAGCCATATGACCCCGGCTAAATCCTTTCAACATCCACATAATAATAAGGTGTTTAAGATAAAACATACAATTACATGTAAAAAACCTTTTGTGATCTACAAATTAATGTGTCCATGCGG